ACACACACACACACACACACACACACACACAGACACACACACACACACACACAGACACACACACACGCACACAGACACACACACACACACAGACACACACACACGCACACAGACACACACACACACACAGACACACACATGCATTATTCAAAGACATCAGAGGAAAGAAGAGGCATTAAAGTGTCAACTCCAACTCTGTAAAACTGTATCTGGGACTCAGAGGGCTCTACATGGTCCTGGTTTCTCTGGTTCTGTACACCATGTGTGGTCTATGAGAGAGAGACCAGAGAGAGAAACCAGAGAGAGAGAGACCAGAGAGAGAGAGACCAGAGAGAGAGTGACCAGAGAGAGAGAGAGACCAGAGAGAGAGAGACCAGAGAAGAGAGAGACCAGAGAGAGAGAGACCAGAGAGAGAAACCAGAGAGAGAGTGAGACCAGAGAGAGAGAGACCAGAGAGAGAAACCAGAGAGAGAGTGAGACCAGAGAGAGAGAGACCAGAGAAGAGAGAGACCAGAGAGAGAGAGACCAGAGAAGAGAGAGATCAGAGAGAGTGAGACCAGAGAGAGAGAGAGACCAGAGAGAGAGAGAAACCAGAGAGAGAGAGAGACCAGAGAGAGAGAGAGACCAGAGAGAGAAACCAGAGAGAGAGTGAAACCAGAGAGAGAGAGACCAGATAAGAGAGAGACCAGAGAGAGAGAGAGACCAGAGAAGAGAGAGATCAGAGAGAGAGAGACCAGAGAGAAGAGAGAGAGACTAGAGAGAAGAGGGAGAGACCAGAGAGAGAGAGGCCAGAGAGAAGAGAGAGAGAGAGAGACTAGAGAAGAGAGAGACCGGAGAAAGAGACTAGAGAGAAAAGGGAGAGACCAGAGAGAAGAGAGAGAGACCAGAGAGAAGAGAGAGAGACCAGAGAGAAGAGAGAGACCAGAGAGAAGAGACAAGAGAGAAAAATCAGAGAGAAACCCAGATTTCCCATAAATGAGTAAATAACAGTTTGGTTTCTAGTCTCTTTTTTATGAAACAAAACGTTTCCATCTTTCTCCCAAACTGTTTTTCCGTCAAAGCCTGTGTTTCTTCGGTGCTGCTTCAGTGGGGCTGAAAGTTAAGTACCTGAGCTTTAACACATATTACACACACAGTATTTAGTTTTCATTTTGAGCCACACACCTTTTCCTCGACACAGAGCGACTCCAGAGCAGATGTTATTGATAAGGAACCAATAATAACAGGATAAAAACCTTAATAATAATCTGAAACATCTGTGATTTCTGAGCAGCGTCAATCCTCGGCGTTTGCCCCAAAGATCAGGGCGTTTGGCTCGGACGTGTCGTGAGTGAAGTGGCATTTACCTTTAGCATTTAGCTGCGTTTACAGACAAAGGCAAAGTGACAGCGGCTAATGCTAATGCGGTAAACACGGATCAGGTCCAGAGCCGAGAACCACACGCTACACGTTAGCATCCTAGTTTTACTTTAAAGACTGTGGGATTTAAAGCAGGTGTTTTCAGCAAATTCGTCAATTTCTAGCTTAAAAAAAACAACATTTTTGATTCAGAATTGATTGTGTTTTTAAAAAGTCTTGTAATAGAGTTTTTCTTTAGTGTTTATTTATTGTTTTATTCCAAGGGAGACATTTCTGTCTTTTTAAAATCATTTTCCTTTGTCCCAGTTGAGAATCTGTTTTAAAGCTCAGTCTGAATGTGCTCAAATAACTGTAAGACCAGATAGACCAGAGAGAGAGACCAGAGAGAGACCAGAGAGAGAGACCAGAGAGAGACCAGAGAGAGAGACCAGAGAGAGACCAGAGAGAGAGACCAGAGAGAGACCAGAGAGAGAGACCAGAGAGAGACCAGAGAGAGAGACCAGAGAGAGAGACCAGAGAGAGAGACCAGAGAGAGAGACCAGAGAGAGACCAGAGAGAGACCAGAGAGAGAGACCAGAGAGAGACCAGAGAGAGAGACCAGAGAGAGAGACCAGAGAGAGAGACCAGAGAGAGAGACCAGAGAGAGAGACCAGAGAGAGAGACCAGAGAGAGACCAGAGAGAAACCAGAGAGAGAGACCAGAGAGAGAGACCAGAGAGACCAGAGAGAGAGACCAGAGAGAGAGACCAGAGAGAGACCAGAGAGAGAGACCAGAGAGAGAGACCAGAGAGAGACCAGAGAGAGACCAGAGAGAGACAGAGACCAGAGAGAGACCAGAGAGGAGACCAGAGAGAGAGAAACCAGAGAGAGACCAGAGAGAGACCAGAGAGAGACCAGAGAGAGAGACCAAGAGAGAGAGACCAGAGAGAGACCAGAGAGAGACCAGAGAGAGACCAGAGAGAGAGACCAGAGAGAGACCAGAGAGAGACCAGAGAGAGAGACCAGAGAGAGAGAGAGAGACCAGAGAGAGACCAGAGAGAGAGACCAGAGAGAGACCAGAGAGAGAGACCAGAGAGAGAGACCAGAGAGAGACCAGAGAGAGAGACAGAGAGAGACCAGAGAGAGAGACCAGAGAGAGAGACCAGAGAGAGAGACCAGAGAGAGACCAGAGAGAGAGACCAGAGAGAGAGACCAGAGAGAGACCAGAGAGAGACAGAGAGAGAGACCAGAGAGAGACCAGAGAGAGAGCCAGAGAGACCAGAGAGAGAGACCAGAGAGAGACCAGAGAGAGACCAGAGAGAGAGACCAGAGAGAGACCAGAGAGAGACCAGAGAGAGACCAGAGAGAGAGAGACCAGAGAGAGAGACCAGAGAGAGACCAGAGAGAGACCAGAGAGAGACCAGAGAGAGAGACCAGAGAGAGAGACCAGAGAGAGACCAGAGAGAGACCAGAGAGAGAGACCAGAGAGACCAGAGAGAGAGACCAGAGAGAGACCAGAGAGAGACCAGAGAGAGACCAGAGAGAGACCAGAGAGAGACCAGAGAGAGAGAGGACCAGAGAGAGAGAGACCAGAGAGAGAGACCAGAGAGAGACCAGAGAGAGAGACCAGAGAGAGACCAGAGAGAGGACCAGAGAGAGAGACCAGAGAGAGACCAGAGAGAGACCAGAGAGAGAGACCAGAGAGAGACCAGAGAGAGAGACCAGAGAGAGAGACCAGAGAGAGACCAGAGAGAGAGACCAGAGAGAGACCAGAGAGAGACCAGAGAGAGACCAGAGAGAGAGACCAGAGAGAGAGACCAGAGAGAGGACCAGAGAGAGACCAGAGAGAGAGACCAGAGAGAGACCAGAGAGAGAGACCAGAGAGAGACCAGAGAGAGACCAGAGAGAGACCCAGAAAGAGAGACCAGAGAGAGACCAGAGAGAGAGACCAGAGAGAGACCAGAGAGAGACCAGAGAGAGACCAGAGAGAGGGACCAGAGAGAGAGACCAGAGAGAGAGACCAGAGAGAGAGACCAGAGAGAGACCAGAGAGAGACCAGAGAGAGAGACCAGAGAGAGACCAGAGAGAGGGACCAGAGAGAGACCAGAGAGAGACCAGAGAGAGACCAGAGAGAGAGACCAGAGAGAGACCAGAGAGAGGGACCAGAGAGAGACCAGAGAGAGAGACCAGAGAGAGACCAGAGAGAGGACCAGAGAGAGAGACCAGAGAGAGAGACCAGATACAGACCATAGAGAGACCAGAGAGAGAGACCAGAGAGAGAGACCAGAGAGAGAAACCAGAGAGAGACCAGAGAGAGACCAGAGAGAGACCAGAGAGAGACCAGAGAGAGAGACCAGAGAGAGACCAGAGAGAGAGACCAGAGAGAGACCAGAGAGAGACCAGAGAGAGACCAGAGAGAGACCAGAGAGAGACCAGAGAGAGACCAGAGAGAGAGGCCAGAGAGAGACCATAGAGAGACCAGAGAGAGAGACCAGAGAGAGAGACCAGAGAGAGAGACCAGAGAGAGACCAGAGAGAGAGACCAGAGAGAGAGACCAGAGAGAGACCAGAGAGAGAGACCAGAGAGACCAGAGAGAGACCAGAGAGAGACCAGGTGTAAAGAATCCCAAACTAAAAAGTAAAATGGTTTAAATGTGAGAAAGACCCCAAAGTGCCTCAGACCTGTTGAGGATTGTTGTATTTCCACATTTGTAGTTTTAAGTTTCAGAAACCTCCACAAACACAGCGGAGTCGCAGCAGACGGAGACGGAGCAGGACATAAAAACCAGTGAAGAGGAAGAGAATGGCCTTTAAAGTCGGACTCCGGCGGATTCAAAATGGCCGACCGGTCGCGGACGACACTAAAGTTTAAATGTGCATCGGGAGAAAGACTTCACTGAACTCTAACATTTACTCACTCACTGTCGGAGGATCTACGCAGAGACTGTACAAAAAACATCTGTTAGTTATAAGAAAGACATAGGTGGAGTTAGATGAGTTTTTGACATAGACGAGCTCCATTCATTTAAACGAGAGACTTCTAAAGTCCACAGCGACTAAACTAGAGTGGTCCAGAACACTCAGCATTGACACACATGTGGAACGGAGCTTTGGGCCAAGAGACAACTTTTGGACCATTCTGTAAAGACGTTTTCCAGGGGTCAGAAGATGCTATATGTTAGCATTGGCTAATTCTTATTCTGGGTCCACCCCCACAGGCCCGGGGTGGTATTGCAGCATGTCAGCGCACGTCATTTTGGACCCTTCTGAGCCGGGATCCGCCCACACCGGTGTCCACTGATACTGTGTCCCAGACCCTCATGCTAATGCTAATGCTAACACATACAGATTTATACATACAACTATATGTTTCTGCGCTAGAATATACAGGATTTATACTTTATTATGCTAAAGCTAGAGATGTTGTTAATCTTGTAAGATACTTGTTCAAACGCAGAAGGTCTTTTGGTCTCGTACAGAAACATAAAGATGAACCTTTCGAATCATGCAATTAAGAAAAAGCTCATTATCTCTGCTATTTATGGGTCAACTGTTGGAGGCAATTTTCCTCTTGGTCAGACAAAATCTTAAATCTGCGATCGATGTGTTGCAGTGAAAGCCGCAGTAGGAACCATAAGCTTCCACTACTGGGTTCCCCCTACACTCACAAAGGGGCCAGGACCGGGGCCAGGACCGGGGCCAGGACCGGGGCCAGCACCGGGGCCAGCACCGGGGCCAGGACCATCTCCAATCCACTCAAAGCAAATATAATTGATGACAGAGTGTTTCAGGGACTCAACCTCTTGATAACAACAGATGGTAATGAGGCTTTGGCTAATAAAGGCGCTTTAGTAAATGAGACCTGAACAGTGACCTGCCAAAGAGACGGTCAATATGGGGTCGCGATCCCACACTCACGATTTACTGAGGGAGGATAATGAGACGTGGGCTGGACCCCATCCAGAGAAAGTCTAAACTGGGTTATAATTAGTGCTGTCAACGAGAGAGAGAGAGAGAGAGAGACCAGAGAGAGACCAGAGAGAGAGACCAGAGAGAGAGAAAGGGAGGGGGAGAGAGGGGGGGAGGAAAGAGAGAGACAAGAGAGACCAGAGAGAGAGACCAGATAGAGAAGAAAGAGGGAGGTAAGAGAGAGAGGGAGACCAGAGAGAGAGAGAGAGGGAGAGAGAGAAAGAGGCGGGGAGGGGGGAGAGAGAGAGACCAGAGAGAGAGAAAGGGAGGGAGAGAGAGGAGGGGGAGGAGAGAGAGAGACAAGAGAGACGAGAGAGAGAGACCAGAGAGAGAAGAGAGAGGGAGGTAAGAGAGAGGGAGACCAGAGAGAGAGAAAGAGGGAGTGAGAGAGAGAGAGATACTAGAGAGAGAGAGGGGAGAGACAAGAGAGAGAGACAAGAGAAAGAGACTAGAGAGAGACAGAAAAGGGAAAGAGAGAGAGGGAGAGAGAGACAGAGACTAGAGAGGGAGAGATAGACAAGAGAGAGAGAAGGAGAGAGCGAGAGAGGGAGAGAGACTAGAGAGAGAGCGAGAGGAAGAGGAGAGACCACGAAGAGTGAGCGCGATCAGAACGAGAGACTAGAGAGAACAGATGGAGAGAGAGAGTGAGAGCAGAGAGAGAGAGAGCAGAGAGAGAGAGAGAGAGTAGAGAGAGAGAGAGAGAGAGTAGAGAGAGATAAAGACCAGAGAGACCAGGATCATTGTGATTCAAAAACACACTTTTAGAAACAGCCAAACCATGATTTTGTCCTTTTACTGCTGAACATTGTTGGTTACACTGAAAAAAACTGATTACTCAAATTTGGCAATTCAGCACATTCTGACTGAGCCTGAAAGTAAGATTCTCCAACGGGACAAAACAAAATGATCTTGTTTTAAAAAGATACTGAAATAAATCTAAATGTCTTTGTCCCATTGGAGAATCTGTAAAAATGTGTCAGATTAAGTAAAAAAAAAACACCTGAATTAAGCGTTTATCGCCTCATAATGTGTGACTTTTTGCAGTGTTGTTTACGAATCCTCCACTGCTGTTATTATTGAGCACTAAACAAAACTGAATTGAATTGAGTGGAAGTCCTGCCGAGGAAGAGAGAGACCAGAGAGAGAAAGAGGGAGGGAGAGGAAGAGAGAGACCACAAAGAGTTAGAGAGATCAGAACGAGAGACAGAGAGAACACAGAGAGAGAGAGAGAGTGAGAGTAGAGAGACTAGAGAGACAGAGAGAGAGAGAGAGAGAGAGAGAGAGAGAGAGAGAGAGAGAGTAGAGAGACAGAGAGAGAGAGAGAGACAGAGAGAGAGAGAGAGAGAGAGAGTAGAGAGACAGAGAGAGAGAGAGAGAGAGAGAGAGAGAGAGAGAGAGAGAGAGAGAGAGAGACAGAGAGAGAGAGAGAGAGAGAGACAGAGAGAGAGAGAGAGAGAGAGAGAGAGAGACAGAGAGAGAGAGAGAGAGAGAGAGAGAGAGAGAGAGAGAGAGAGAGAGAGAGAGAGAGAGAGAGAGAGAGAGAGAGAGAGAGAGAGAGAGAGAGAGAGAGAGAGAGAGAGAGGAGAGACAGAGAGAGAGAGAGAGACAGAGAGACGAGAGAGAGAGAGAGAGAGAGAGAGAGAGAGAGAGAGAGAGAGAGAGAGAGAGAGAGAGACAGAGAGAGAGAGAGAGAGAGAGAGTAGAGAGACAGAGAGAGAGAGAGAGAGAGTAGAGAGAGAGAGAGGAGAGAGAGAGACAGAGAGAGAGAGAGAGAGTAGAGAGAGAGAGAGAGAGAGAGAGAGAGAGAGTAGAGAGACAGAGAGAGATAGAAAGAGAGTTTAGAGAGAGCAGAGAGGAAGACTGAGGAGAGACCAAGACAAGAGACCACAGAGAGAGACCAGAGAGAAACCAGAGAGAGACCAGAGAGAGACCAGAGAGAGACCACAGAGAGGGACCAGAGAGATACCACAGAGAGAGACCAGAGAGAGACCACAGAGAGAGACCAGAGAGAGACCAGAGAGAGACCAGAGAGAGACCAGAGAGAGACCAGAGAGAGACCACAGAGAGACCAGAGAGAGACCAGAGAGAGACCAGAGAGAGAGACCAGAGAGATACCACAGAGAGACCAGAGAGATACCACAGAGAGACCACAGAGAGACCAGAGAGATACCACAGAGAGACCACAGAGAGATCAGAGAGAGACCAGAGAGAGACCAGAGAGAGACCAGAGAGAAACCAGAGAGAGACCAGAGAGAGACCACAGAGAGACCAGAGAGAGACCAGAGAGAGACCAGAGAGAGAGACCAGAGAGATACCACAGAGAGACCACAGAGAGACCAGAGAGAGACCAGAGAGAGACCAGAGAGAGACCAGAGAGAGACCAGAGAGAGAGACCAGAGAGATACCACAGAGAGACCAGAGAGAGACCAGAGAGAGACCAGAGAGAGACCAGAGAGAGAGACCAGAGAGAGAGACCAGAGAGAGACCAGCGAGAGACCAGAGAGAGACCAGCGAGAGACCAGAGAGAGAGACCAGAGAGAGACCAGAGAGAGACCAGAGAGAGACCAGAGAGAGACCAGAGAGAGAGACCAGAGAGATACCACAGAGATACCAGAGAGAGACCAGAGAGAGACCAGAGAGAGAGACCAGAGAGAGAGACCAGCGAGAGAGACCAGAGAGAGAGACCAGAGAGATACCACAGAGATACCAGAGAGAGGCCAGAGAGAGACCAGAGAGAGAGACCAGAGAGAGAGAGACCAGAGAGATACCAGAGAGAGACCAGAGAGAGACTAGAGAGAAACCAGAGAGATACCAGCGGCTCTGGCTCTCTCTCTCTCTCTCTCTCTCTCTCTCTCCTCTCTCTCTCTCTCTCTCTCTCTCTCTCTCTCTCTCTCTCTCTCTCTCTCTCTCTCTCTCTCTCTCTCTCTCTCTCTCTCTCTCTCTCTCTCTCCTCTCTTCTCTCTCTCTCTCTCTCTCTCTGTCTCTCTACTCTCTCTCTCTCTCTCTCTCTGCTGCAGTGTGATTTCTGCTGACACCAAAACCATTCTCAGTCAAAAAACAAACTCGTCGTTCTCTCCCTGATCTCTTCTTTATTCCTACAGGAAATACAAAAATATAAGCAAATCAGCAATTCCATTTCATCGCCGCCGTCTCCAGGTACGGCTCAATATCCGTTTTTATTCCCTTCGCCGTTTGTTTCTGGCGTCGGGAAAGTGCACATGAAGCTTCGGGCCAATTTACAACCGCGGCAACAGCTACGGCTACGTCCGTCACTACCGCCTTTTATTACTCAATTTGACTCTGCGTTCTCGATGCATCGTGGGGTTAGGCCAGCCGGAAAATCATCTGCTCTGCACCCGGCGTTTGGGGGTTTTTACGACTTAAACGAGGAGAAGGAGAACGAGGGGTTTTGTCTCAGTGATAATCAATGGGGTTTTTTAAAAGTTGGAAAAGTGGGTTTCTGTGCAGAGGGGAGTTCGGACACGAGCCGAGGGAGGAAAGAGAGAAGGTTTTCGGATCAGAAATAATCACAGTAAAAGAGTCGCTGCAGCCGAACTGTTTTATTATTTTGTTTTTTTATATACTTCATTTTTGTTGTTAGAAATCAATCAGAAAGTCATGATTGAAGAATAAGAAAATGATTTAATAAAACAATAAAATAAATACTGTTTCAAAGAGTTTTAACCTAGATTTGACTTAGTCTGGTCTTATCCATCTGTACTCTCTGCTCAGTCATCATGTCCTGCAGGTAACGTCTGGGTCTGGTCCCTGTGTTTGAGAATACAATCGGTTGAATTTTGACCGACCAATCAGAGAGCGCGGGAGGCGGGTGTTGTAGTTAGTTGTGGGTGACGTCAAGAGTTTGCGTCGAACGGTTGTAGTTTGGCGAAGAATGCGATAGTAAAGTATTATGCTCTGGTTCTATCAAGAAACTGAAGCCGGAGCAAGAGGAATGTTTAGCAAATGTAATCTCTGGCAAAGATTGTGGCTCTACTCCCCACGGGCGCCGTTAGCAGCAAAGGAGATGGCTAAAGCTAGGCTACATGCTAACAACAGACTCGGGCTCATTACATACGTCACAATAAACTCAGATCCAATGGTTTCTGCAAAAGGAGTTAGCCCCTCCCACCTGTTCACGGAGTCAAAGGAGCAAATCAAGGCCTTAGTACCAAATGAAATTCGTACTACGGCGTGGTACGACCAGGCTAGGATTTGTACATTGTCAGATAAGAAGCCTGTCTCACATTTTCAGGAAGACTGTTCCGAGCTGCATAAATCACTGCCTCCTCATGTTCAGGAAACCATTCAAGTGTTAAGGCTCAGTCAGAATGGTGTCAAATGAAGATACATTTGACCCATTTCTGACTCGTTTCTCCTCCTTCTCTTCAGAGTAAACTCCCACAGTTCAACCACACGTGACGCCTTTAGCTTAGCATGAATGTCATTAGCTTCATATGCAAAACACTGAGCTATAATCCTAGTTTAAATAATAATAATAATAATAATGATAACAGTGTGTAAGGTGGGTTCCTGGCTCCGGAGCGTCTGTGGAGTTGGGGACACAGAGATTAAGAGCTACACATTGTTTACCTGTGCCCCGCGGTGCTGGACACTGTGTCACTTATAAATGTGCGGCAGGTTATTGGTTCGCTAGCGGCTAAAGCAGAGAGCGGAGAGAAAGGGAGGGACCCAGGAGGTGGTTCAATAAGGTCTTAATCACGTGAGTCCGCGGCTAAATGAGGCGTTGTGTAGCTGTGTTGTGTAGCAGGGTGTTGTGTAGCAGGGTGTTGTGTAGCCGTCTCCTGCGACGCCTGAATTATTCAAAGTGTTGTTTTCCTCTTATTGCGCCGGTTGCAGCTTTGAGACCAGAGTTCAGCATTTTTCAGGTTTTCTGTGTGAATGTGTTAAACGCCGAAGGGACGAGAGGTGTGTGTTAGAACCAGTGTCATGTCAATTGTGCGTGTGTGTGTGTGAATGTGTGTGTGTGTGTGTGTGTATGTATGAGACAGAGCGGTCAGCAACGATGTGTAATTTGTAAGTATGTATGCATGCAAGTGCGTGTGTGTGTGTGTTTGTGTATGCATGTCTATGTGAATGTGTATTTGTGGGTGTACAGTATGTGTGTGTTTGTTGTTTGTGTATGCATGTCTATGTGAATGTGTGTGTGTGTTGGTGCAACTGTAGGTGTGTGTGTCAGTGTAAGTGTATCTGTATGTGTGTGTCGGTGTAAGTATGTGTGTGTGTGTGTGTGTGTTGTTTGTGTATGCATGTCTATGTGAATGTGTATGTATGTGTGTCAGTGCAAGTGTACATATATGTGTGTGTGTCGGTGTAAGTATGTGTGTGTGTGTGTGTGTTGTTTGTGTATGCATGTCTATGTGAATGTGTATGTATGTGTGTCAGTGCAAGTGTACATGTATGTGTGTGTGTCGGTGTAAGTATGTGTGTGTGTGTTGTTTGTGTATGCATGTCTATGTGAATGTGTGTGTGTGTTGGTCCAAGTGTAGGTGTGTGTGTCAGTGTAAGTACATGTATATCTGTGTGTGTGTGTGTGTGTATATGTACATCTGTATATGTGTGTCAGTGTAAGTGTACATATACCTGTGTGTGTGTGTGTGTGTCAGTGTAAGTGTACATATACCTGTATGTGTGTGTAATGAGAAAACAGCAGCAAAAAACAGGATTATTGTTTCAAAACAACATCAAAAAGACTTTAAATAAAAATAAGAACCTGTTTTCGTTGGAGTTTAACGTTGTGTTTACGTCATTATTATCAATACTTTTTCAAATTATTATCTAGTTTTGATATTATCGTTAGTATTATTGAATTCAATGTATTTTTGTATAGCCCTAAATCACTACAGTAGTTTCTCTGAGGACTTTACAAAACTGTCAATTCGTCAACAACAGATTAGAAAATCAAACTGTTCAGACTCAGTAAATATAAAGATAGAAAACACACAAAGTCCACACATGAAGCTGAGCGTGGAGAGTCCTGGATCACACAAAAGATCAAGTTTAACCCAAATCTCAATAATATCTTCTATAATCTTCTAATAATAATAATAATATTGGTTTTATATACTACTATTTCAGGACACTCAAAGTCTCTTCATGTCATTAATCATTCTCTCCGAACACAATGACAATAAACTACTGTAGCCACAGCTGCCCTGGGGCACACTGACAGAAGCGAGGCAACCAGTCTGTGCCATCGGCCCCTCCCACCACCACCAACCATTCACACACACACCAGACTCATTCTAATGTGGGGGAAGTGTCTTGCCTAAGGACACAACCACAGTCAAGAGCCGCAGCCGCCCCACTGTGGCACCTGCAGATCTCCCATCACAGCACTAACCAAACCCAGCCCTGCTTAGCTTCTGCAGGCTGACAGGATCTGGCCTTCTCCTGCAGGTACAGCCACGTCCAGTCCGGCTCTAGTTCCTGTAAGAATCATCCCGTCACCATGACAACCCCCATCCGGTTCAGTACAGTCTCCCCAGTTTGAGAAACCCTGGTCTCCTGTAACTAAACTCATCAACTGCAAAAATCTCTCCAAATCCTGGGAGCGCCGCGGTCATTCCGGCGCCGCGGCTGTTTATCACTGACATTTCAAAGACCCAACGTGCACTTTTCTCCCCGCAGCCACAAATTATAATTATTCTAATTTATGATTTCTGCTTACGTTTGCACTGTACTATAAAAAAAGAGAAGGAGGAGGTGAAGTCTATTAAAATGTCGGTTTGGGATATATACAGCGGGGAGCCGAGACCAGGACCTTAAATCAGGAGGCAGGAGACGGGAGGTCAGACCCAGCGGGGCGTCTGATTGGCTGATGTATGGCTCTGTGATGGCTTATGGGATGCGACCCCAGCACTAACGCTTGCCCCCCGCGGTGATGGATCCGCTGCGATTGCCGGCGTCGTTTTTGTGAATGGGGCGATGGACGGCGGCGAGAGAGGAGGACGTTTTTAAAGCTGAGGGACCTGACTTTGAAAAACCACCACGGCTGTAGTGACCGTTCTGCTGCGGCGGCGGCTGCGGCGGCTGCACTTTATCACTCATGTTAGATACTTTTAGAATGACGTATTAGTTTGTTTTGTTTTGTGTTTTTGCTGCTACTGGAAACCTGCACTTACAGTATCCAACAGGGATCAATAAAGTATCTATCTATCTATATATCTATCTATCTCTATCTCTAGATCTCTACATATATACTGCATATATCTCTGTATCTCTCTCTCTCCAGTCCCTGTGCTCCTCTGACTCTCGTCTCAGTGAATATGACTTTAACAAATAAAAAATAAAAACATATTTTGGGTTTGATTCTACTGAACGTTACGAGCGTTTGGAATATAAACCTTTCTCTCTTTGTCTTACATTGAGGCATGAACTAAAATCATTTTGACTTGTGTGAAAATCTTGTTTGTCTCGTTTCAAAAACTAGGCCACAGATTATTCTCTATATTTTATTAAAGGTCCAGTCTGTAAGAACGAGACGATGCTTGGACTGAGGCTGCGACCGGAGAAAACCCACTGTAGACGTAAATAGCATGTGTTGTGTAACTAATGCTAACATACGCTAACACTGATAACCCAGGCATCCCGGTTGGCGTGGCGATGGCGGCGGTCTCTGTGGTGTAAACTGGCGTAACCCCATCCGTGTTTATCGTCAGACAGGGCTCCAGCTGCTCGGCCCCCCGCGGAGCCTCAGACTGCAGCCCTGCCAT